GTGCGGAAATACATGGTTCCCGCTCACTGGCGCTGCTGGCCTGCTGCAGCGCCGCCAAAAATGCCCGTTTGAAGTTCGCAAATCGAATGTTTGTTCACCAGAAATACCGCAAGTAGACCATTTCAACGATAGTTAGAAGTTAAATTTTAGTAGCTGATATAACTTAAGGCATATTCACTTCGGATAAGAGGCATTAATTGCCTACCACAGACGTTTTATAGTCGCGAATTACCGCGACTAAGTTGGTCCCGCGCATCCCTAATGGCTGGTTCTAGAGCCCAGCGGCAACTGTACGCGGGCTATAGTTACTAGAGCTAGCCCTAGAATAGCGTCAGATTATAAAAATTTCTAGAGCTATTGGCAATTGGTCTATAATATAAATGAAGACCAACCGCCAGGAACGCCGGCGCCGCGTTGCGATGCACTAAAGGCCCGTCTCGACACACGCGGCGCGGCACGGAACGCCACGGAAACGGCGTCGTTCATCCCTACCGGCAAAGTTCAAATCTATTATATCTTATAGCGCAGTCTCCACTGACACAACACGGCGCCAGCCCGGTTTCACGGCGACGGCGAAAGTCAAATGAGTTTGACTTTTGCCGGATGCCGTGTACGGAGAAAGACAGTTGAACCAATCAACGCGATTGTTTTTTATCTCGTGTTCTGCTCGCGCCACCATCAGCCAATGGACAACGAGCACATGCATAATTTTTGAACACTGTTCAACTAGAGTGAACACAATGCGCGAAATCATAATGTATTTTTTTTCAGCACAACGGCGCTGCGTTTTGCTGTGTCGTGTCGGGCCGCGTGTGTGGAGACATAGCTTAAGGCTAAGCTACAGACCACAGGCACTTGCCACGTCTCAATAAAAAAACCGCAGTGGCTGGAGGTACAGCAGCCGTCGTTCGTTGAAGCCCCTTTTCGGCGTTAGGGTTAAGTTTAGGTTTAGGGTTAGGGTTAGGGTTCTAGCTCATCTAAACTCTCAAATCGTGAATTTATTTCCCAAGGCGTTATTTCGAAATCTGGCACCACCGCCGCCATCTTTGTCTCGTTAAGTATGAAAGCGAATGGACTGCCGTACCCGTAGCCTCGAGACATTAAGATACGGCTGCCGTACCCGTAGGCGTAGCCACTGCCAAAAAAATAATGGTAAATAAACACGAAATGTATTTACTACCAAAGTCTTAATATTTCTCTATTCTATTTCGCCTATTATTGCCGATAATTAATTGCCTGTAAATGCCACAGAGACCCGAGGCAAAATAAAAAATTAAAATGTGTTATATCAAAAGAGAAGCAACACACAAGTAGGCCTACACCGCACGCACGCCCTGTCACCTGTGCACAAACATCATTGAACATGAATAAGATCGATAGCAGGTAGGAAAGCGTGATCGCAAAATTCGCAAATAGGCGAAATAGAGTAGAGAAACATTAAGACTTCGGTAGTAAATACATTTCGTGTTTATTTACCTTTTTTTCATTTATTGAGACGTTCCAAGTGCCTGTGGCTGTGCTACAGTGCTGAGTGTAGGCCTACAGACGGCCGCGGCTTGTCTGCTGTCAGCCACGACAACGATTTGTATCAATATATGATTATTTGCTGAAACTTATTTCAGTCATAAATGAGCAACAGTACTCAGTAGTTGTGTCGCAACCTCTTGCGACGTTTCGAACTTAAATAACAGAGATAATAATAATAAAACGATAAACTGTAAATAGTAAAAATACCACAATGTTCATCGTCGCCAAAATGCACACCAGGTGGCTGATGACAAAAGAGCAGCGAAGCATCCAACGCCAGCAATCAAAACATTTCTTGGACGGCAGTAAACCAGATTATGAACTTTGTTTCTCCAGTAACAATAAGTTGAATAACAGTCAAAGTCAGAATATGACGAAGGAATTACTGCCGTTATGTTTGTGCTTACTCGTGTTGTTTGTTGTATCGGTGACAACATTGCCATTGCCAGCATATACATCGGATGCCAACAACATGAACCAAGCAGTAGCTGGTACCAACATGAACAAGTATGACACTTTCGAAACAAGGGATAATTACAGACAGCCACCGTTTCCTGCTTATGACAATGATAGATCCGATGCAGAGAATGATTACGGACTACCACGTCCACAGCCACGGTTTTCCGTTTATGGAGATGATATTGATAAATTGGAAGCAGGAAATCACTACAGTCCGCCTCCACAGCGACGGTTTCCCGCTTATGAGTATGATAAATTCTACCAAGGGAATCAATACAGACAGCGTCCTCAACAGTCACGAGTTTCTGATTATGGAGATGATAAATTAAGTAGAGGGGATCAATATAGACAACTGACAGAATCACAGCCACATGGACCTGATACCTTAGTTGAAAAGGCAGAGCCAGCGTATGGTAATAATCCACCACAGCAACAGTTACAGGGAGCTGGTACCATAGGTAACGAAGGAGAACCAGTGTCAAACAACAATCCACCACAGCAACAGCTACAGCCACATCCACAGGGAGCTGGTACTATAGGTAACGAAGGAGAACCAGTATCTAACAACAATCCACCACAGCTACTATAGGTAACGAAGGAGAATCAGTATCTAACAACAATCCACCACAGCCACAGCCACAGGGAGCTGGTACTATAGGTAACGAAGGAGAATCAGTGACAGTGTCTAACAACAATCCACCACAGCAACAGCAACAGCCACATCCACAGGGAGCTGGTACTATAGGTAACGAAGGAGAATCAGTGACAGTGTCTAACAACAATCCACCACAGCAACAGCAACAGCCACATCCACAGGAAGCTGGTACAATAGGTAACGAAGGAGAATCAGTGTCTAACAACAATTCACCACAGCAACAGCAACAGCCACAGCTACAGGGAGCTGGTACTATAGGTAACGAAGGAGAATCAGTGTCTAACAACAATTCACCACAGCAACAGCAACAGCCACAGCTACAGGGAGCTGGTACTATAGGTAACGAAGGAGAATCAGTGTCTAACAACAATTCACCACAGCAACAGCAACAGCCACAGCTACAGGGAGCTGGTACTATAGGTAACGAAGGAGAATCAGTGTCTAACAACAATTCACCACAGCAACAGCAACAGCCACAGCTACAGGGAGCTGGTACTATAGGTAACGAAGGAGAATCAGTGTCTAANAGGAGAACAAGTGTCTAACAACAATACACCACAGCAACAGCTACAGGGAGCTGGTACCATAGGTGACAAAGGAGAACAAGTGTCTAACAACAATCCACCACAGCAACAGCTACAGGGAGCTGGTACCATAGGTGACAAAGGAGAACAAGTGTCTAACAACAATCCACCACAGCAACAGCTACAGGGAGCTGGTACCATAGGTGACAAAGGAGAACAAGTGTCTAACAACAATCCACCACAGCAACAGCTACAGGGAGCTGGTACCATAGGTAACGAAGCGGACCCAGTATCTAACAACAATCCACCACAGCTACAGCTACAGGGAGCTGGTACCATAGGTAACGAAGGAGAACAAGTGTCTAACAACAATCCACCACAGCAACAGCAACAGGGAGCTGGTACCATAGGTAACGAAGCGGACCCATTATCTAAAAACAGTCCACCACAGCAACAGCTACATGGGGCTGCTACCATAGGTAACGAAGCGGACCCAGTATCTAACAACAATCCACCACAGCTACAGGGAGCTGGTACCATAGGTAACGAAGGAGAACAAGTGTCTAACAACAATCCACCACAGCAACAGCTACAGGGACCTGCTACCATAGGTAACGAAGCGGACCCATTATCTAACAACAATCCACCACAGCTACAGCTACAGGGAGCTGGTACCATAAGTAACGAAGCGGACCCAGTATCTAACAACAATCCACCACAGCAACAGCAACAGGGAGCTGGTACCATAGGTAACGAAGCGGACCCATTATCAACAGGGAGCTGGTACCATAGGTAACGAAGCGGACCCATTATCTAACAACAATCCACCACAGCAACAGCTACAGGGAGCTGGTACCATAGGTGACAAAGAAGAACCAATGTCTGCCAACAAGCCACCACAGCAACAGGGAGCTGGAAATGAAAATGAAAACTTGGAACGTGGAAATGATTACTTTAGCCAATCGGATATTGCCAATAAGCAACCCATTTCAGAGGTACGTAAATATATATATATATTATATATATATATATACATGTCTATCCGGTACTAGCATCGAAGCTTACGATAACAATGGTTTTGCCAGTGGGAGAATTTTTCTGATTATTTACAATATAGTCCACTTGATTTCGTGTGGAAACAAATTCTTGTGATAATATGTAAGGATTTAATGACCTAGCTTGGATCCCACTAGCTAGGTGACATTGCTCTTGGTATATTTCAGTTAAGTATTGCTGCAGATGCAGAGGAGGAGGAAGATGAAGTCAAAGAAGCAGACGATGAAGAAGAAAGTTTGTATGGGACTGAGTATGATGAAAACAACAAAGACTACGGTGATATCACTATAGCAGAAGGTGACTGGTGATCTATATCTTACAACATACTTGTAAATAGATAGAGAAAGTTTCGCAGTTAGAAGTGGTCGTCATGTGCACATGCATGCGTGCGCATATGGACATTATAAAAAGCACCGGGTTGATAACAGTACGTAACTTTCACTGCGTACGTACATAAGCATCGTGATCTGTCAGAATAACTCTCATGGTTACTAGTTCAATAATAGAACAAACAATGAAAAACAATACAGAACAATGAAGAAAAAACAAAGAACAATAAAGAAAATCATGTTCGTATCGCTTGGATGAAATTGACTTGGTTAATGCCATTTAATGTCCCGATGAAGGATACGCCTCCCTCTTTTCTGTGAATATCTCTCGAATATACGTTCCCAGTTCTCATGCCGCTCTCGCGTTCTATCATGCAGCGCATGCGGTGGCGCCACCGGACGGGGGCAAGGTGGTGGCGGACGAAGCGAGCGAGCGATCCATCGCCGGTCATGTGTCATCGGGCCGTGCTGATGCTGCGCATGGTAACTATGGCGACGAGGACGAGGACGAGTCGACCCACTTCATGCGCTACTTTGTGATGACCGCTCTTGTCGCTGTGTTGGGATACGTCGCCTTCCACAACAAACAGAGGGTGAGCGGGAAGGATGAGAGAGTCAGTATACTGGGGATGAGGCAGGAGCAGCAGGCATCTGCGGGCCGGGGCGGCGAAAGGGGGTGGGTCCATCCAAATCATGGCATGTCCAGGTTAATGAACTTTTGGGTGGGCTACCGCCTACCGGTCTCTAAGAGCACTGTTCAGTAATGAACCTAACGATGGTAAATTACCCTAAAGTGGATTACCAGCGTGCGGCGCGTCACCGCGACTCGGATGTGTCGCTGGCGTCTCCCGTCGCGCGGGCGATGGCGGCAAGCTCACGACCGACGTGCGGGGAACGAATATTCTGCGTCGTCGCTCGACCGCGTCACGACTCGACGACGTCTGCTTCCGATCACCCGGCCCATGGGAACGAGCCTGGGGAAGTCCTGGGACGTTTCCGATTCGACGACCGGGGAACGATCCCGATCGGAGGAATGCTGACGTTTGACGGTCTCCCGAATTTTTGTTGCAGATCATAGCGATCATCGTTGAGGGTCGGCGTCCGGGCGGCGGCGCGGCTCGCAGGCCGCGGAAGGCCGCGTACGCGAGGCTGGACACAAACGTGGAGGAAGCAATGCCCAGCATGAGGACGACGGTGAATTCAAGCTCCTTCATCTACTAGATTCCCTCCCCTCCACTCTTCTCCCCTCTTCTCTTCTCCTGTCCTCTTCCCCTCCCTCCCCTCCCCTCCCCTCCCCTGTTCTCCCGTCCCCTCCTGTCTCCTCCCCTCTTCTCCCCTTTCCTCTCCTCTCCTCCGCTGCTCTTACCCGTCACTATTTGACACATGCCGAGCGTCCGTGTTCGTATATTGGATCGCGAAAAACGCAGGGTTTCGTTAGGTCTTCTGTGAGTTGGTGGCACTTGTTTTTATAACGAGACTTGCGAGTTGATTTTTTCCGGTGTTGACGTTCTGTAGCAAATACGCTGATGAAGGGTAATTGTGACTTTTGCACAACCCTGCGGTCGGCGTGAACGTATCTATACAATAGTATCTATCGGGCGTATTGTGCATATCTAAACGCTATTATGCATATCATGTATGCCAGTATGGACATGTTTCATGCCGTTGGTATTGATGAGTGCATTCGTGAGTATACACGGTCAGTGTTATATTTGCTATATAGTTTTAAGTTATATTTGCATCAAGCTTGGGTGTAGCGGGGTGCAGGGGGGAGGGGGGGGTGCAAATTACAGTAGCTGCTGGGGTCAGTTGGCTACTTACGAATTTTCCATCACATAAAATCTGTATTTTTTACCAGTTATAGGCCTACTATGGCGATTGTCGTGCATATTCCTAAAAAATGAACGAGGTGTGGTGAGGCTCTAGAAAGTGTGCAATGTTATATTACGTTTAATTTTTATTAGTTTGGTTCGCTTACTCATTCTTGCACGTACAATTTTTCTGTTTACAAATGTACCACAGCATATCCCCAAGTTTACTAAGTTTAGATTACTAAGTACCTGGCTGCTAATATTGTCGCAGTGCGAAATGTTGGCACCTTATTAATTGAGCTTCGTAGTAACAATGCTGAATGTGAATCCTGTTTACAGGTTAGGCAGTGAGAGTTGTGGGCGGTCACCTTGGTTGTCCGGAAGACTGGTCAGATTTCGACATCCTGATATTCCGTTGAGGTCAGCTTTTAATTATCCAGAGAACTGGACCGGCCTTATCATCTGCCATTTTAGTTCTTGTCTAGTACTGTTCAATCATGTATTACTCGTGTGTGTGTACTCATGTATGAACACAAGTATGAATGTATGTGTATATAGAGCACATGCGTATGTTCATGCTAGTACTGATACGCATACAGTACCTTCTTTTCTGTACTCGTACAATGATGCAAGAGTGCAGTGCTCGTGATTTGACGCAAGAGTGCTTGATTCTATGTTCATACCTTGGTTTAGTGTTTGTTTACGGCACTGGATAAATCACACAGATCGTCATCATTATATTATCAATGCCACACATTAATCGGTATTGGTCGGTTCCGTTACTAAAAATCCAGCAAGGCACTGTAGAGAATTTTCAACATGTAATTTTTTTTCAACATTTCTCATTGGAATCACTTATATGTTAATAATCCTCGTTGGATACCTCAGGTGTAATTAATTAGTAATATGATTTTCTTAGAAGAGTATGTATGTATACAGGAAGGGGGAGAGAGGCGTACATGCGAATGGAGAAACACAATTCGCGAAAGCGGCCGATCGAACGAAAAATGTGATGAAAGTATGTAAATCTACGCAGATTTCCGGGCTTGGAATTATTCTCGCCTTTATAAAATGGCTAGATGGCAATGCCCATGTTGCAGTCTATAGGGGTTTCATGATTCTAAATGTGCATAGACATTCAGTGTGCTTGCTGTTCCCTCACCATCAGGATGACTCTTGCATCTCTACGTTTCCATCCCCACGTCGCCCGAATACGATCGTTTCCCAACTGACGTCTCTGCTGTGGAATTGTGACGCGTCCTACACACCACGTTCAGGATGGCAAACTTGTTGCTTTCACTACATGCTGACTGGCATTTTCGCTGAGCGTAATTCGCTAGCCGGCATTTCGTCTTGGTCACAGCGAGGTTGTGGTTACGCATCGCAAGTGGAAGCGGTGAGCGTAACCTCCGCGCGAAGGGAAAGCTGAAAGCAAATAATAATAATACGTATCACCCTTGAAAACGCATCCGTACTTCTGACTTTCCAGTTTTTTAAATTTTTTTTTAATTTGCTGAGAAGCAATATGCAGCTGTGTGAGAACATATTTACTTTATTGTACACTATGCACGGTCGGTACGTATATGTGTTGGTTAGTCGGTGAGGATTTTCACAAAGTCTCGATACATATGGTGATTATTATAATCAGGAGTCTATCAATAGATATTGAGCTATTGATAGACTCCTGTTATAATCATAATCAGGAGTCTATCAATATTGATAGACTCCTGATGATATGAACTTAGGTGATGTCAGTGATATGGCAAAATATTATACAATAATGGTCTTCATTGTCGAATGTATTGTATTTTATATAGCAAAACATGAGCCTGAAATTAAACTGTGATATAAGTATATTTATGGTTCCATTGTATGTTATTGGTGAGTGGTTTGTACACTGATCTCTATAATATAATCTATATAATATATTATAGAGATCAGTGTTTGTACACCATTTGCTCGCCATTTTGACCGGCAGGTGGCAGACCGATTCAATGTGTGATTAGAGCGTCACATATCGCAGCAGCAGTTGATTTGGCAGTTGTCTAGATGTCAAATACGTTCGTCTCGTTGCATTTACAGAATCCTGTACTTTGTTAGAAACATGTAATACATTAAACATTATACAAAACACAATTCATATTACGTAAACATTTCAATTTACTTAAAAAACATTGATATAGTATAGTAGGAATCGGCCAACACTAGAGTCTAGAAACCTTGCACAGAATTACATATCACATGCGACCATGCATGAGCCTTGTATAGTACTGTTTTTTGTGAATAATAGTACAGCTCAGAATTAGTTTTCATAATCACGATATAAAATTGGTGAGATTGGATTTATCTGGTATGTAGATTAGCACTATTTGGTTAAGGTGAGGTCTCGGTAGTTTTTCGTAGTATATACTCTCTAGACAGATTTTCAAGAGTAACATGATTAGTAGAGTAATTATTAACTAATTATTTATTAATTCATGCATGTTCTTCATACATAGACCCAATATCTGTATACCTAATAAGGTAGCAGGTCATATCTATAGTCACCTACAGATGTCGCCATTGTAGTCGTACATTGCTGGTATAGTCTATGGTCTTACCCCTCTCTCAGACACCAACCGCACTAGCACTCACGGGAATTCGAGCCATTCATCAGATCATGGGTATCTCGTTGTCAAGTGCTATAATACGCTGCCCTGCGTGCGTGTGTGTACAGATCGGCTAATTCCTGGACATACGATTATCTCGTCAATCGAATCGCCTCCCGCCATTGTCGCTAGAGTTACCCGATTACGCGCTGCACACACACGCGCGACAATACCTGCGACAATGCTACACGCTGCTGCCACGACGGCATTACCGTAACTCTTCAGGTGCGAGAATGGGGTAACGGCGGGTTAGACTAATGGGATCAGCGGCAGGATAAGCTTGTCCGCGCGGGTGTCGGCACGCCTTCCTCGCTGCGACACGCTGTGAGGCCGATCTCTGTGTGCCAATGTCCGCGGCGGGTAACCCAACGGTCACATTAACATCACACTACAGCGGTGGGTGGGGGACTGAGTACTCCTCCTTCCTCACGGTCACTGACGGCGGCGGAGGGAGGAGGGGGCGAGATGAAACTCATCGGTTACGACTATGGTTCCTTGCTCTGTGTATAAGACCCATAGTTTATACAAAGCGGATTACTTTACTTAAGTTTAACTACTTTCCGCGCTCACTCACTTTACTTTACGTAGTTACGACCAATGTTCATTTATAGAGACTCTCTATAGAGATATTTCAGTTACGACTTAAGTCTCTTTGTCGAGACCTTATATGAAGCGACTTTAGCGATGTCAAGCCACATACGTACGAACGCGTTCTGGGAATCACTGATGCACACACGATAAAAGCGCAGTTTAAATCAATAGGATATGTATACGTGATCCCGTCGTTTAAGACGCTTCCGAGGCCTTATCATTACGTGAGATTTACGTACGTGCGGCGGCGTTGTGTCTTGTATTGTTGTGTGTATAGACACGGCCCACATCGTGACAGATGTGTTAGAGTGTATAATCCATGCCCGCTACTGTTAACTTCACTGCCGGGGTATTATAATTAATATAGTATACGTGCATAATAACCGATAGTACTGTTAGTACATACGTTGTAATACATACACAATAATATACGCGTAATAACGTATGCATAATGCCTTATATTAGTATACGATCTTGAAAACCCGAGATAGCCTCCATTTCATGCAGCCAAGATAAAGCGAGTTATTTAGCCATCTGTTGACCTACCCAACTATTTATCTCAAGCCACTCTTATAATTTATCGGTCTCGTTCTCTAGATTTACTCTCTCTTAGATGTTGCGTTTGCGGGCATTACATCAATCAAAGAGCTAGGGTAGCGATAAGTTATTGGCGTGTCGCTCAGAATAACACTTATACTAATGATAGAGGAAGAATATTAACTAACCAACTAGCTACCCAACTCTACTGCGTTTGATGTATTACAGTTACGCCTGTACTACGTTCGTTGCCAACATAAACAGCGATATCAATAATACCATATATGGTAATGGTAATAATAATAGTGATAATAATAAAGCTAATATTAATAATAATAAAATAATAATAACGATAAGTTGTTCGGGGGATACTATAACCGATAACCGCCGTAACTTACCAATAGCGCCACAGCTTTAGAATCACTGTGGTCTTTGTGCGCCGGCAATCGTGCGGGTGGTTGCCGTTAGCATGTGCTCTATTGTACTGCTGTGATCGCATGTTATTCTACAACAGTCTCTCTCATTGTCAGCAGTCTTGTTGCTGGCATTGCTGGTTACGCGGGTGTGCAGGCCGTACGGTTTGTCTCACAAACGTATTGCGTCCACGGGAGTTGTGTTAGCTTAGTGAGTAGCAAGATAATAGTGTAAAGCACAATATCGCGTGTTTCTGCATCTATTCTGTATTCGTAACTGCAATGTAGATATATAGATAGATAGATAGATTGAGAGAAATATATATATATATATATATATATATAGATAGATAGATAGATAGAGAGAGAGAGAGAGAGAGCTTGCGCCGAATGATAAGGCTCAACAAGGCCGGGTTTGCCGAGTAGATTAGTGAGAAAAATAGGCGGGAAATCGCCGTTTGCCCTTTTCCGCGCCGTTTCGGTTTTAAATTGAATGCTCTCGCCGTCTGTGTTGTTGTGCGCGCGTGCACGATCAGCGTCGCCATGACGACAGAGACGCGCACAATGACGTTGATGATCGCTGAGTCGTCTGCGACTATGTGCCGCACCTCGTGTCCCGCTGCTGATCCTCACAAAGATTTTGTGCTGTGCGCGCGCGTGTGTATGTACGCGAGTCTCTCAGTGTGTGTGTGGTGTGTGTGTGTGGTGTGTGTGTGGTGTGGTGTGTGGGTGTTGTGTGAGTGTGTGTGTGTGTGTGTGTGTGTGTGTGTGTGTGTGTGTGTGTGTGTGTGTGTGTGTGTGTGTGTACGCGAGTCTCTCAGTGTGTGTGTGCGCGCGCCGCGCGTGCGTGTGTGTGTGTGTGTGTGTGTGTGTGTGTGTGTGTGTGTGTGTGTGTGTGTGTGTGTGTGTGTACGCGAAGTCTCTCAAGTGTGTCTGTGTGTTTGTGTGTGTGTGTGTGTGTGTGTGTGGTGTGTGTGGTGTGTGTTGTGGTACGCGAGTCTCTCAGTGTGTGTGTGGGTGTGTGTGTGTGGGTGTGTGTGTGGGTGTGTGTGTGTGGGTGTGTGTGTGTGAGTTGTGTGTGTGTGTGTGTGTGTGTGTGTGTGTGTGTGTGGTGTGTGTGTGTGTGTGTGTGGTGTGTGTGTGTGTGATGTGTGTGTGTGTGTGTGCGTGCGTGTGTGTGTGTGCGTGCGGGCGTGCGTGTGTATGTGTGTGTGTGTGTGTGTGTGTGTTGTTTGTGTGTGATCGTTGCGTTCGCGGCGTCGTGCGTGCGTGTGTGCGTGGCGCGCTCTGCGTGTCCGTGCATGTGCTGGTGCACCGTGCATGCGTGTGTGCGCGTGTGCATTAACCTATATTACATGCATTACACTAATTTATTTACCGATATAATGTTAGAACGAACGTAAAGTCTGCTGAGAGGTTCTCACACTTCAACTCATATTTATACTGTGGCTAGAAATACTTCTAAAAGTCTGTTGTAAAACGTGAAGTAAATAATGACTGTGAATCAACCTAACTGCACTAACCATGTGTAATTACCAAAAGTCAACTCTGGCGCCTTGATTGTCAGAACGAGAAAATGCGAGAGGGAAATGTAGGGAGCGAGGGAGAGACGGCAGCGAGAGAGGGGTAGCAAGCGAAAGAAGCAAGAGAGAGAAGAGCAGGATAGGGAGACAGGAGAAAGCCTGGGAGAGCAAAAGAGAGGCGGACAGGGAGAAAGAGAGAGAGAGAGAGAGAGAGAGAGAGAGAGAGAGAGAGAGAGAAAGAGGGAGAGAGAGAGAGAGAGAGAGAGAGAGAGAGAGAGAGAGAGAGAGAGAGAGAGAGAGCGAAAAGCATGAGAGCCGAGAAAAGGTGGGAGGAAGAAGGAGGGAGCAGCGCAGATGAAGAGATAAAGGAGAGAATTTCACGTACACTACTCTCTCACTGTGCCACATATCGACATGGCGTACGATATGATAAAAATTAACGCAAATTATATATATATAATATATATATATATATTTTATCTAATTTGCGTTCATTTTATTTTTTATTTTTATTTTTTTATTATATATATGTAACGGACGCCACTCGACGGCTGTGTACACGCGACGCTTCTCTTTGTAGCTTTGCGCGCATTTCAACGGCATGCCGCGTCATTTTTTTTTTTGTTTGTTTCTTTTACACGACTCCTCCTAGTATCACATCAAGGATTAGCGGTGGAACTGACGATGGGCCGCCGATGAAATGCGCGACACACCGACAAACAATGTTCTCTACTGACAGTTCTAAAATACGTGAGAACATGGCCGGCCCTACGCTACCCGCGGTTGCCATGGCTAGCGTGCTCATCCGTCGTGTGGAAAACCCGCAGAATCTGTTAAATCTTACATCGGCGTCTCGTTGCCGCACGGTTAGCGGAGGCATGCAACGATATATATTAACAGTCACTCAGTTAGTAAAGCTTACTGACAACGTCTAACGGTATATAGACTAAGCTATTAGCAAAGGCTACTGCCAACTCTAACTGTATATAGCTGGCTATGTTAACACACGCTACTGATAACTCTAACGGTATATGAGTTTGGCTATATGTTCGCAAAGCTACCGACAATTCTAACCCGGTATATTGCTAGCTATTTAGCAAAGGCTACTGACAACTCTAACACGGTAGCATAGTTAATAATGT